ATGAATGTTAAGTTATATTCCTAATTATTATCATTATCATTATTATTATTATTATTTTATCGTTAATTGAAATCGAGGCAGGAGACAAAAAAAAAATATATATGTATGTATATATATATATATATATATATATATTTATATAAATAAAATAAATGATTGATTAGAAGAAAATTAAAATTGAATAAAAAAATTTTGTTTTTTTTTTTTTTTACCTTAGTTACCTACCTTTCTTTAGTGAAAAATTTAATCTGATGTATCAGAAAAACATAATACCCAAGGAGGTATAGAAAAAAATAAAATTCAAACAATGGATTCCCGCTTAAAATAAAATGTGTGCCAGGTAAAATATACAAGGTCGTCCTACTTAGCGTAAACAGTAAACAAGGTCGACCTTGGTTGAAAAAACGTGACCATGAAAATTTTCACAAAATTAAATTTAAAACTAATGGCCTTGGATTCAAGGTCGACCTACTTTAGAATAAATCGTAAACGTTGGATTTTCGCGCTCAAGGTCATTTTTAACTAAAAACATCGAAAAATTTCCTCTGATTTATCCGTAAAACATAATATCCAAGGAGGTATAAAGTAAAATAAAATTCAATCAATGGATTCACACTTAAAATAAGGTGTATAAAATAAAAAACAAATAATTAATATAAAAAAAAATAATTATATTACAAATTAGACTATATACAAATTATATACATAGACTATATAAATTATTACATAGACTATATATAAATTAGACTAAATTACAAAACTTTTGATACATACATAACTTCTTACAACTAAATCACTAAATAAAATTATTAAAAAATTAATTAAAATAAGTTGACATGATGTAAACGCATGTCAACTTATTCAATTTTAATTATTATTATTATGGTCACTCTTAGTTAATATTTTCCTTGTCCTTCGGTCCAGGTGCGTGATTTCTTTTTTTGTCCAATCGACAAGGCCAAAACTGTATTCTATTACTGGAACTGCTAATGTGCCGATGGCATTTAACTTATTTCTTCCATTCAGTTCCGACTGTAATATAAGCCTCAATCTTTTAAAATATTCTTTCTTCAATCGAGATTTAATTTCCTTGTTGGCTACCCCAAAATTTTCTTCAATCCCCATTTATTTGTATGTTGATCCAGGGTCCAATTCTTTAATAAGTTCTTCTTCTGAGTCTTCTATATTTTCCTTCCATTTTAACTTTCCTCCGACCATATTAACTTTTGCACATTTTTCCAAACCAAATTTCATGTTGATGTCAGAGGAAAAGGTTTGAGCCGTCCTTAGCATTTTATTTAACTCCTCTTCGTTTTTTGCATAAATTTTTAAGTCATCCATACACAGCATATGGGTGATTTTCCTGCCTCCTGGTACCAACTCATATCCTTGATCTCTCTCAAAGCTGGAATCATCAGATCCGAACTCGCAAAGGTGAGAGCAGATTCCCCTCTGACATAGGCAGTTGCAGAGATTCACTCCACCCAATTGGGATACTCCCCTCAACCATGTGGGAGGCATTCCCGAGGTATCACTTTCGGTCCTGCCTCCCATAATTACACATGTACATATACATACATAATTTAATATAGTATTCATGTTAGAGTGAATTCATATTCAGATAAATGAGAAACATTTGATCTTTCTGCGACTATCCGAGGATAATCCCAACAGTGAAAATTTCTTTCGTCTAATTGAAGATATTTTGTGCAAAGGTTTAATTCTTTGTTCCAATCAGGTTTGGGTAAATTGTCCAATATCCATATTCTATGATGCCAACTATCATATGATTTTGAATTTACTCTCAGGCACTGTTCTGTCAATTGTAAATCTTTTTCCAATAGTTTTTGATAACTCTCCAAGTCCTCGTCGTTTCTCAACGACAAAAATATTTCTCTTCAATAATTCCATAATGTTATTATATCCGGATTTCCTGTTAATAAATTACCGGTGAGATTTAAACCTTCTTCGTAGTGTATTTGTGAAGAACGTTTTTCTAATATTTGATTCATTATTTTTTTAAATTCTATTGCCTTTTTCTGTTTCTCTTGCCTTGCGATTTCTTTTTGTTCTTCTGTCGTTTTTATTTTGACTCTCCCGTGCATTTTGTAATTTCTTTAAAAACAAATTTTACGATTTTTATTTGAAATTAATACAGGAAAAATAACCCACAATGGGAAATAGTAAAAATAAAAGTAATATGTAAAAAACCATAGACATCAATTTAAACTTAATTATATCGATGGTAAATAAAGTGTCATTAGAAAAATGTATTTCACTTTAACGTGGAACTTAAAAAAATATGGAAGCTTTTAACGTAACCAGTACATGAATATTTTCGTTAAATAATTTGTTTTATGTAAATTTTTGGGTTGACCAGTAAGTAACTGCGTATTTTACCAACAGATAGTTTGTACATTTTTTTGAGTACGTTTACGTTTATGTACAAACATGAACTTTTGGTGTGTTATTACTTGGTTCCTTCTGTAACATTCAGTAC